TGGTCTTCAACTCCTGGGCTCAAGCTATCTTTCTGCCTTGGCCTCCCAAAATGCTGGGATTACAGGTGTGAGCCACCACGCCTGGCCCAGTAAGATTTTAAAATGTGTTTTCAAGTATATTTGACAATGATTTCAGAGAAAACAGTGACAAGATTACAAAAGGAACTGGAAAGGATGCAAAGCCTAGTAGCAAAATATCAAGTGTCTTTATTTGCCATGAATGTGCAAATAAGTGACAGGGATATCATAGGGGCCCAGAGAATGGTTTCATGAGCAATTGAGGTATTCCATGAGGAGTTTAGAACTTCTAAAGATGCCCTGGAGACTGCACAAACTACATCACATGCAAATCAAGGGCTCAAAGTCAATAAAATTGATGATATGTTACAGTTTACAGAAAAACTGAGGATGGCTGGGCGCAGCGGCTCATGCCCGTAATCCTAGCACTTTGGGAGGTTGAAGCAGGAAGATCACAAGGTCAGGAGTTCTAGACCAGCCTGGTCAACATGGTGAAACCCCATCTCTACTAAAAATAAATAAAGCTGGATGTGGTGGTGGGTGCCTGTAATCCCAGCTACTCGAGAGGCTGAGGCAGGAGAATCACTTGAACCAGGGAGAGGTTGCAGTGAGCCAATATGGCACCACTGCACTTCAGCTTGGGTGACAGAGTGAGACTCCATCTCAAAAATAAATAAATAAAAATAAAATTGTCTAAATTTCTCCCTTGTTCTCTATTAAATCATTTTTACATCTTTCTAGTTTTTAGGGTGCATTTTTTATTTCCCACCTGTTTCTGAATATACAACCGGGTATTATTTTTAAGTTATCCAATGTTCTCTGAATCATTTCTCTCTTCTTGGGCCAATTTCTCTGTTTAATTTGGTCCTCTTTCTTGCTGTAGCCTTTTCTTGCTGTCTGATGATCCTGGGTTGCTCACTGATATTAAAAGTGAGGCAATCGGAAAGCTTATTTATTGGGAGCTTGACTACGTGGATGAGCTTGTGGAATGGAAGGCTTTGATTTCAGATGAATAATTGGGAGTCAGCCGATTTACTTAGCGACCCCAAAATACTAAAACATAGAGTTCCTACACTGTCATCTAGTTCTCTGCAGAAAGGCTGGTCAATTTACTTAGAGAAGAGTCTTCCTATTTAGCCTCAAGGGTAAATGTTAGGCACCCTGACATTCTTTGAGCAGAGGAAGGAAAGGTGACTGGCCCATGGGCAAACTCTTGTTTTCACGAGTCTGGTTCATGCTTCACATCTGCCCTCTGTTATACTTGCCATTTTTGAGTCTTTGAGTCTTGAATGTCCCTGAGTTTCCACAGGGAAATTAGCCCCCTCCTCAGTTGAAGGCCACACCTGAAATACTCACTATACAATTTCCAGCACTGTGCTGAGCCAGCTACCACTCCATCTTCTTCTTTCTGTCTCCAGAAATGTGGAGGAACTCTCTCATCAGCTTACCATCTTTAACAGAAGGCTTATTTTGTTTTCTTCTTTTTAGTTTTTAGAGGCAGGGTCTTAACTCTGTCACCCAGACTGGAGTGCAGTAGCACAATCATGGCTCACTGCTGTCTCGACCTCCCAGGTTCAAGTGATCCTCCCACCTCAGCCTCCCAAGCAGCTGGGACTGTAAAGTGGGTGCACTGCTATGCCCAGCTAAATTTTAAATTTTTTTGTAGAGACAGTGTCTCACTATGTTGACCAAACTGATCTGAAACTCCTGGCCTCAAGCAGTCCTTCTGCCTCGGTCTCCCAAAGCACTGTGGTATTACAGGCGTGAGCTACCACGCCCAGCCTTTATGCTATTTTTTACTTAAATTCTATTTTGTTAGATATTAGGATTGCTCCCAGGCCAGGCATAGTGACTCATGCCTATAATCTCAGCACATTGGAAGGCCGAGGTGGGTGGATCACTTGAGGTCAGTAGTTCAAGACTAGCCTGGCCAAAATGGTAAAACCTTGTCTTCTACTAAAAACATAAAAAATTAAACAGGTGTGGTGGTGGATGCTTGTAATCCCAGCTACTTGTGAGGCTGAGGCAGGAGAATTGCTTGAACCCAGGAGGCAGAGGTTGCAGTACATCGAGATGGCACCAGCCTGGGCAACAGAGTGAGACTCCATGTAAAAATAATAATAATAATAATAATAAAAAGATTGCTCCCTTGGCTTTCTTTTAATTTCTTATGACTGCCTGGTGTGAATCTTTCTGTTTTAAATGTGTCTTTTATATAAACATCTTTCTTTGACTTCAACATAGGCATCTCTGTTTTTTTTTTTTTTTTTTTTTTTTTTTTTTTGAGACGGAGTTTCGCTCTTGTTACCCCAGGCTGGAGTGCAATGGCGCAATCTCGGCTCACCGCAACCTCCGCCTCCTGGGTTCAGGCAATTCTCCTGCCTCAGCCTCCTGAGTAGCTGGGATTACAGGCACATGCCACCATGCCCAGCTAATTTTTTTGTATTTTTAGTAGAGACGGGGTTTCACCGTGTTGACCGGGATGGTCTCGATCTCTTGACCTCGTGATCCACCCGCCTCGGCCTCCCAAAGTGCTGGGATTACAGGCTGAGCCACCGCGCCCGGCCGGCATCTCTGTTTTTAATTAGTAACTGTGAGGATTAATTTTATGTGTAGTTGACTTCGATATAGGGTGTTTGGATATTTGATCAAACATTCTGGGTGTATCTATGAGGATGTTTCTGGTTGAGATTAACATTTGAATTGGTAGACTGGGTAAAGCCAATTTCCCTCCTCAGTATGGGTGAGTCTCATCCAATCAGTTGTTGGCCTGAATAACAAAAAGGCTGAGTAAGAGGAACACCTGCCATCTGATTGCTTTATCAAGGGCATCATGGGTATGGCTTATCCAGGAAAGACAACTCAGAATCAAAACCTATTGATCCATGCTAAAAGATTTCGCTCTATATTTAAAGACTGGTGTTTACATGTTATACATACTTTTATGTTTTAAGTTAAAATAAAATATATATGGTGTATCTATGTGTCTTTTTTTCCCCAAAAACTCCAAGCTGTAAGCAAGTCTTTTGATTAACAGGCAAACTGTCCATCTTGATTGCCTCTGAAAAGATTTCCTATAAAATAGTGAATCATCAACTGCTTTTTAAAAGCTCTAAACCCCTGTTGTCCCAGGCTTGCGCAGTGGGGTGTTTTGCTTTGTGCACTTGATGGAAAGGTGCCTGTCATGGTGGGGGAGCTTTCCTTACCAGCGGACCTGTAGCTCTCCAGCTACAGCTCTCTGTGTTGTACCTGTGAGGAGGTGTGATTGGTTGTCGTGAATTTTCACAGAAATTTTTTGTTTCCAGGTGGGGTAATATCTGAAACAGTCTCCCTACCACATGAAAGTCCCTGAATCACTGAGCTGATACATTGCTGTCTTCAGTATCTCAGGTTGTTATTGTTTCAGGTGCTGGAAACTGAAATGTTTTAGGGGCAAAGCAGGTAACCTGCATGAGAAAAGTGGGAGAAAGGGGCCAGGTGCTGTGGCTCATGCCTGTAATCCTGGCACTTTGGAAGGCTTAGGCGGGTGGAGCACCCAAGGTCAGGAGTTCGAGACCAGTTTGACCAACATGGTGAAACACCCGTCTTTACTAAAAATACAAAAATTAGTTGGGCATGTTGACAGGTGCCTGCAATCCCAGCTACTCAGGAGGCTGAGACAGGAGAATTGCTTAAACCCGGGAGGCAGAAGTTGCAGTGAGCCAAAATTGCACCACTGCACTCCAGCCTGGGCAACAGAGCGAGACGACTTTGTCAAAAAAAAAAAAAGTTGCAGAAGATAGAAATGAAAAATAAGAGCAAAATAGAAATTTCGAGAGGTGTGCTTGCTTCGGCAGCACATATACTAAAATTAGAATGATACAGAGAAGATTAGCATGGCCCCTGTGCAAGGATGATATGCAAATTCGTGAAGCGTTCCATATTTATTTACAAAAATTAAAAAAAAATATTTTGAGAGGCAGTACGAAAATGGCCTTTGAAATTTTGATGATTGACTCAGAAACTATAGTTGTCTAGATAGTAGGTACACAGTCCACTTCAAAGTAAGTTCAAAAATATTCAATGATTTTTTTTTTTTTTTTTTTTTTTTTTTTTTTTTTGAGATGGAGCCTTGTCCTGTCACCCAGGCTGGAGGGCAGTGCCATAATCTCTGTTCACTGCAACCTCTGCCTCCCGGGTTCAAGCGATCCTCCTGCCTCAACCTCCCAAGTAGCTGAGATTACAGGTGCCTACCACTATGCCTGGCTAATTTGTTTAGTAGAGATGGGGTTTTACCGTGTTGGCCAGGCTGGTCTCAAACTTGTGACCTCAAGTGATCCTGCCACCTTGGCCTCCCAAATTGCCAGGATTACAGGTGTGAGCCACCATACCCGGCCCTCATTGACTTTTTAAATACTGTCTTATACTCTGCAGAAGTCATGAAGATTTTCCATGTGCTTTTGAGAAATTTTCTTGAGAGATTCTGCTCTGCTCATCAGTGGGGAATTAATTTTGAGTGACTTCCGAATCTCTTTGATAAAAAATTGTGTGTATTGTTTTCCACTACTCAACTGCATTAGAGCATTAGCGTGAAGATTTTTGGCAGCGCAAAAATCGAGTGTATTATGATTATTTAAGTGTTAAAAGTTTTAGAGCAAGGTTTCATTTTGTCTACAAAGTCTGCCAAACTCTGGCTAAAACAAAGCAAATAGGCCAGCAGTATAAATTTAGACATCAGTTACCTGCCTTTTTTAATGAAATCTATTAGAAGTAGATAATTGAGTAAGAAAATTAGAGCTGTAGTAATAAGAAATTAAAAACTAACTAAAACTCATTAGAACCAAACACCCAGAAAGAGCTCTGCTTTATGATTCAAGCAAACAATAATCAAAAGGTGTAAAAGTTAATTCTCTGATAATGTATATTTTGGGGAGTTATTGAAGTTGCTGAAGGTTAAGGATATTCAAATGATTATAATTTCAGAGGCTGTCTTATGATGTTACCTTTGAACCAGGATGTGATAAGGAGGTGGTTTGTCACTAATAGGAAACAGGCAGCAGCATCTAGAAATAAAATATAGAATAATTGCAAATCAGTTACAACTTGTATAATTCATGGGTTAATTATTAATATTAAAGGTAAAAATATTTGATATTGTAACCTTAAGTAACTAGATAAAATGAAATGTAACACATAGTAGGGGACTTCAGTTTTTTGACATTTTATAACTTATGTGCACTTAAATAAGACTGTTTTGCCATAAATATTGAGTTTTTGAGTGATTATTTTAGGCAATAATCCAATACAGGAAATACAAAATTAGTGTCGAAGTCAAATGCCTGCAAGGGCCAGATAGAGGACACAGTAAATGAAGGTGCCCTGGTATGAGAGCCCAGAGACAGGGACCAACTGGGAATGTAAATTCCATTTGAAAGAGGCAGCTGTTGGCCAGACACGGTGGCTCACACTTATAATCCCAGCACTTTGGGAGGCTGAGGCGGACAGATCACCTGAGGTTGGGAGTTTGAGACCAGCCTGACCAACATGGAGAAACCACATCTCTACTTTAAAAATAATAATAATAATAATACAAAATTAGCCAGGTGTGGTGGCATATGCCTGTAATCTCAGCTACTTGGGAAGCTGAGGCAGGAGAATCACTTGAACCCAGGAGGCAGAGGTTGCAGTGAGCCAAGATTGCTCCATTACATTCCAGCCTGGGCAACAAGAGTGAAACTCCGTCTTAAAGAAATAAACAAAACAAAGTTAGTGTGGGTGCAGTTGCCCTCACCTATAATCCCAGCACTTTGGGAGGCCAAGGCCAAGGGATCATTTGAGGCCAGGAGTTGGAGACCAGCCTGACCAACATGACGAAACCCCATCTCTACTAAAAGTACACAAATTAGCTGGGCATGGTGGCACACGCCTGTATTTCTAACTAGTCAGGAGGTTGAGGCAGATTCCCTGAACCTGGGATGCAGAGGCTATAGTGAGCCGAGATCACATCACTGCACTCTAGCCTGGGTGACAGAACCAGACTCTGTCTCAAAATAAATAAGTAAATAGGCTGGATGTGATGGCTCATGCCTGTAATCACAGCACTTTGGGAGGCCAAGGCAGGCAGATCACTTGAGGTCAGAGTTCGAGTCCAACCTGGCTGACATGGTGAAACTCCATCGCTACTAAAAATATAAAAATTAGCTGGGCATGGTGGTGTACACCTGTAATCCCAGCTGCTCTGGAGGCTGAGGGAAGATAATCACTTGAACTCAGGAGGTGGAGACTGCAGTGAGCCGAGATTGTACCACTGCATTCTAGCTTGGGTGACAGAGCAAGAGTGTCTCAAAAAATAATTTAAAAAATTAAATAAGTAAACAAACAAAAATACTCTGTGAAGCCAACAAAACCCATACTGCCTGGATTCAACTTGCCAACCATCTCTAGATTACCAGAAGAAGGATGACATTTATGTTAATTAAATACCGGGTTATATACATTAAATAAGTATATTTATATTTCAAGTAACTCAGTACAATAGGTACAATCATCTCTACAATGAAATGATGAAATTGAGACTCAGGGAGGTTGGTATACCATTGATAATCACTTCCGTAGGTAGCAAAATGTCTCAAAAGAAAAATAAACAAATCAAGTGATGAATGGACCACAAATGACCTACCATAGAACTGCTGTTTAACTATAGTAGGGGGGAAAATCAGTATGAATCTGGAATACTTGTATGTAAGAGAACACACTTAGAGAGAACCTAGAGAGAACCGCATGAACAATGTAATGTTTCTTTTTTTTTTTTTTTTTAAACGGAGTTTCGCTCTTGTTACCCAGGCTGGAGTGCAATGGCACGATCTCGGCTCACCGCAACCTCCGCCTCCTGGGTTCAGGCAATTCTCCTGCCTCAGCCTCCTGAGTAGCTGGGATTACAGGCACGTGCCACCATGCTCAGCTAATTTTTTTTTTTGTATTTTTAGTAGAGACGGGGTTTCACCATGTTGACCAGGATGGTCTTGATCTCTTGACCTCGTGATCCACCTGCCTCGGCCTCCCAAAGTGCTGGGATTACAGGCTTGAGCCACCGCGCCCAGCGAACAATGTAATGTTTCTATTTAGCTTTTCCTTGTGTGATTTGGACGTGGAAAGGCACTCTGCATTTGTGAACCTGGTTTCCAGTTCAAAACACTCGGATTTTACTGAGATGGCCAAGCTCTTCCTCTGAGTTATGACTCTTTGTTTTTCAGCTTTTCTACTCACAATGGAGGTTGGGGGGCACCTCCTGGGATAAGGAGGAGTTACTGCAGGAATTTCCTCTCTCACTGCATTTGAATGCAAAGTTCCACAGGAGGTAGTTTTTAAGACACATTGCTGAGTTTTGTAACACTTAAAATATAGTAGGGATGCTCGAACCATATAATTACATTAACAAGTTGAGTTATTCTTTGTACTTTCTGAATTTCTAGAATGTTCTATATTTGATAATATTATTTTAAAATCAGAAGTAAATGCTACTTTTGAAGTGTAGTAGAAAATAGTAGATAGCACATACATTTCAAACACTAATTGAATGGAATGTAAACAGGTTGGAGAAACAGCTTTCCTGGACAACCTTAGCCATTAAGTGTTCATTCATCCTATGCTTAACTCCTGAGCTCAGACATTTGTGTCCCTATTTAGGCTTCTTGACTTTCCTGGAATTCCAATGACTGGTTTCTCGGAAGACCCAGTCTGGATGCACTGTCATTTAAAAATAAGTTTCCAGCCGGGGCGCTGTGGCTCACTCCTGTAATCCCAACATTTTGGGAGGCTGAGGCGGGCAGATCACGAGGTTAGGAGTTCAAGACCAGCCTGACCATGGCGAAATCCTGTCTCTACTGAAAATACAAAAAGTAACCAGGCGTGGTGGCAGGTACCTGTAATCTCAGCTACTCAGGAGGCTGAAGCAGGAGAATCACTTGAACCCGGGAGGCAGAGGTTGCGGTAAGCCAAGATTGTGTCATTGCATTCCAGCCTGGAGGACAGAGCGAGATTCCAACTCGAAATAAATAAATAAATAAATAAATAAGTTTCCCCTCTTCACAGCCTGGACTCATCCACATGTACTGGCCAGTCTGGGTGTGGAAAATTCCTTCCAAATCTATCCTCGTGGCATTCTTTTTCTCCTCTCTGAAACCATCATCCATTTTCCTCTCTTCTAGTTTAGAAGCCATTCACTGGATTTCTACTATTTTTGTGTTTATCCTTAAATTTTTAAGTAAGCACATGTAACTTGACGAAGTCTAAGTTAATCATCATTGCCGTATCTTTACTCCTCTCTGAAACCATATGAGACTGTAGAGTAAGTTCACTTGAATTATTTCCATTACTGCTCCATAGTTAAGTCTCACTTCTTCTACTTTTCAGTTTTGCTGTTTTTATTGTTCTTGTTTTCTATAATCAATACTTGCTGAATTTGCCCAGGTGTTTCCTGACTTTTTTTTTGAGGCCAAGTTTCGCTCTTGTTGCCTAAGCTGGAGTGCAATGGCATGATCTCAGCTCACTGCAACCTCTGCCTCCTGGGTTCAAGTAATTCTCCTCCCTCAGCCTTCTGAGTTGCTGGGATTACAGGCACATGCCCACTATGCCTGGCTAATTTTTATATTTTCAGTAGAGACAGGGTTTCACCATGTTGGTCAGGCTGGTCTTGAACACTTGACCTTGTGATTCACCTACCTTGGCTTCCCGAAGTGCTAGGATTACAGGCATGAGCTACCGTGCCCAGCCTGTGTTTCGTGATTTCTTTTTTCATCGTTTCTTGAGTGTTATGGTCTCCTGAGTTCAGTGTCCTTCTTCTGAATATACCTCTGCTAGTAGTCCCTACAGTGAGGCTCTCTTGGTGGTGAGCTCTCTCATATGCTTGAAATGTCTATACTTCACTGTTTCTCAACCATGATAGATAAATTAGAATGGCAGTTATTTTTTTCTCAGCACTTTGAAAATATTATTCCATTAGCTTTTGGTTTTTGTTGTTGCTTTTGTTGTCACTCTTTGTAAGTAAATTGTTCTCTAGCTCATACTTCTTGGTGTTTTGAAATTTTCTATAACATGTCAAGGTGAAGAGTTAATTTTATTTATTCTGGGCTGGGCACAGTGGCTCACCCCTATAATCGCAGCACTTTGGGAGGCCGAGGCAGGCAGATCACTTGAGGTCAGGAATTCAAGAGCAGCCTGGCCAACATGGTGAAACCCCTATGAACCTGCAATCCCAGCTACTCCAGAGGGTGAGGCAGGAGAATCGCTTGAGCCTAGGAGGTGGAGGTCGCAGTGAGTTGAGATCACACCACTGCACTCCAGCCTGGGCGACCGAGTGAGATTCCATCTCAAAAAGAAAAAAAATTATTCTGCTTGGAATCTAGTGTGAATACTAAATTTCTGTTATAATTTCATCTTCAGATTCAGCAGGCTTTTACCAGGACAGCCTCTGTGCAACCTGAGTTGAAGGTATATTTTTCAGAAATGTGTGTGTGTGTGTGTGTGTGTGTGTGTGTTTGCTTGCTTCTGCCAGAGTCCTGTTGTGTTGTGTTTGAGACAGAAATTTGCTGTGTCGCCCGGGCTGCTAGTGGCTGGTCTCAAATTCCTAGGCTTAAATGATCCTGCTGCCTGAGCCTCTTGTATAGAGGGATTACAAGTGCACACCACCATGCTCAGCTCCATGTTCTATATTAATGTCATAGCTTGAAGATTTGTGAATCACAGAAGTAGAATAAACTGAGCTCCAAACTCAACTGAGGGCAAGCCATAGTGAGAAATGATCAGATGTGACTTTTTAAAATCCCTATCTAAAGTCTGAGCTGAAACAGACATGCTTCCTTGTCATCTCCCTGTGTTAGTATGTGGATGTTTTCTAGTTCTTCCCTTTCCGACCGGCATAACCATTCACAGTTTTTAGCTACAAGCAGGGGTCTCAGTTCCAACTCTATGCCTACTCTACTGTCCCCTTGTGGTCATGAAAACCCAAGTGCCCTGATGACCTAGACGGAGGTCAGTACCCGCAGGCAAGCTGCTGCAGCATTAG